TATCTTCTTACATTACACGCGTGCTGCCTGTAGTTTTAGCACATGTGGGCATGGAGAAACTGCATGGTCCGTAAAAGACAAGGCCAGAGACTTATGTTTCACTTTCACACCTACATTTGGACTTGGGAGTCGGGAGAGAGGGTGAGACAGAACAAACAGGAAGGAAACACTATTAAATGTCAGGGGCTATCTTTACCGTACGCGTGGCGCACGTGAATGTGGGCTGTGATCCATATTTCAGTCAGGCCCACAACAAGTGTTTTTGACCGCGAGCGCCAGGGCCACAAACGGCTTCACATTCACGAGGGGGAAAAGGAAGGGCATGTTTGGATGCTCTGTTCTCTAAAAATCCATTGCTTTTAAAAATAAATGTTCACGTAGATTAATGAGATATTGATCTGAGTAAAAAAGTTTTGATTTTTTTAGAAAAAAATCTTGAATTTAAATCTTATAAATAAAAAAATAAGTGTTAAGAAAATTTTTTTCATATGAGATCCGACCTAATTTGATTTCAAATTAATCAGAATCTAATATGGTTTTTGAATGTCAATAGTTAATACAAAAAAAAAAAAGTTCATGTAGAAGGTTATTAAAAAATGAACATGCTTAGTTTAATATGTTGTAATGATGTTTGTGTTTAAGATAATAGATTCAAAACAATCTAAAAGACCGTAATTTAAATACTGAAAAAAGCAAAAAAAAAAAGTTAATAGTAGAGTTAAGTAAGTCTTAAAAAGACTAAAATGAAACAATCACCCATTATGAGAAAAAAAAAAAGACAATTATAATTTTATAAAACAAAATTATAGTAAAAATCTATTAAATGGTTTTTAAGACTTTAAAATTCATCTTAATTCAAACTTACAATCTTATAATTTTTAATTAGACATTTAGATACATAAAAAAGAGTTGGAAAGGTGAAAATTAAAACGTTCCAATAAAATGTTTGGCCTTAAGACTGAATCAAATGCAACATGAGATGGAAAACAACCAAGTTCTTTGATGGATTCTTCAGTCTTAGTACTTTGACTTGCTTTTTGCAAAGGTGATAAAAAGTAGGAGATAATTGGAAGATCAAGGAGTTCTACATTGCACAATTATGATTACCCCAATCGTCACTTCATGCATAAATGCACGATTAAAAAGCCTACATGATGCCCACAAATAGGGCCCCTCACCATTATCTCTACCCACTTCGTTTGGTTGCTTGTTTCATTTCTCTAATAAAGTACCCAGAAAAAAGACTATGACTGCCAGCACATATAGGATTTGGTCAAAGCTTCCATAATATACATGTCAAGGACTAAGAAGATGACAACCTCCTAACCCCACCCCACCACCCTTAGATTTTTTTTTATCATCCAATAATAAACTTAATGCATAGAAAAGCAGCAGGTAGGAAAACTACAATTTATACTATACTCGAGTGTTTGCAACAGCTTCAATCTCCCAATTTGCTGCAGTGGCCATAGACAGTGGAGAAGATTTTGGCCTTGCAAAACCCAAAACTCCATTAGTTAGCCTTACGGTGCATCATCTAAAGGACAATTTCCCTGATTGTATTTGATATAGTTTTCTTTAATTATTTAAGTGAACTACAGACATGTCCACTACCAACGGCTCAAGGCATGCAGAATCAACCACTTGGGCATTTCGTGACTGAAGACAAAAGAAAATCCGCCGTATCACCTGTGATACTCTATATTTTCTCAACTCAGAAAAGGCACTCCCTAAGCTACTTTTAATATTTAAAGTTTTAAACTACATATATAATAATTGATTTCAGTTTCATTAACCTTTTATCTGGTTCGCGAGTAATCTTAAAGATTGCACTGAATCCTGAGCTACTCGGAGAGAGAAAACAGAGAGGATGAACAAGAATGCTAATTTTTTGTGCACAACGAAAAATTAAAGAATAAATAACATGAAGAGAGAAGCATAGCTTTTTTTTTTTTCTGGTAAAATAATATCAAAGTTCTAATTCAAGCTACTACCTAATGTACATATAAAGGCCACAGAGCCAACCATACAAAATTAGTTAAATTAACTTTCCGGTAACATCCGCTGCCGCCACCGCCAGTATTTACACTGCTCCACCAGAAAGGAAAAAGGGAGAAAGATCAAGGAAAAACAGAAAAAAAAAAAGGGACCAAAATCCTCCCATGGCTGGAGACTTTAACAAATCATTCATGCCAGCAGAGGAGCATGACCACACATCTCCTTATTATGTAAAGTTTCGCCCTCTGCTCTCTTAGCACCCCCCCTAGCCTTCTGCTCGGCAGCCTCCTCTTTGATCCTCCCATGGAAGCACTGCTCATCTTCATCTTTTCTGAATTTGGGCTTGTGTGAGAGGGAGGGAGAGAGAGATTTGATTTCAAGTTTTACTGCAGTGTATTTATGCTAGAATGTGGAGTGAAAGTGTAATGGGGGTGAGGGGGTTCTTATAGCATGACGAGGATGTGGTCCTGGCAAATACTGGTCAAGTAAAGAGGCAACGATGGGGCATGAAAGGGCGTGTAAGTGCTCCAAAGTCCAAACCCACCAGACAGTACGATATTGGACCCACCCTCTCCACTTGGGAATCCATACGCCAAACGCCAAGGAAAATGATAAATGAATCCAAACAAAGCCTTATCTCTCTTTCTCATATGGCCATGTCATCATATTTGATATATAATCCTATGCATCACCCACCACCACCACCACCACCACCACAATGTATCCTCCATTCATGAGTAGATGAGTGGATTATTAATAATGGATGATGAAATCCCTTTTTCCAAATTGCTTTAACTTCTTTGTTTTATTCTACATTTTTTTTGTTGGATCCACCTAAACATGCAATTTACAGAAGGTCATGCAACTATTGTTTTCCTTTTTGACGCTAATATGAGATCATACCATATGTAAGAACACATTTTTAGATAAAAGAATCTGTACTTTAGAGTTAGACCAACTACTTGACGATTAGAATTACATGGCTTGGCTGCATGTCTGGGTCTGTGAAAGAGATGCCATAAAATCTCACTAGCAGGTAGGATTATAATTATATTTTATTAGAAGAATATTTAGTTATTCATATATATATATATATGTATGTATATATATTTATATTTATACTTTCTCATGAGACAAACAGAACTAGACAACTCTAAATCATATTTATGTGTTGATGAAGAATTCTTGTTGTGATGGAGACTTTTGAACAGCTTCTTGGATTTTTCCTTTAATTTCATCAAATGATAAGGTATTCACACCAAAATTAAGAAATTCATGAAAATTTTTTATTTTTTCAAGATTTTAATTGAATCTTAGTGAAAAGATTCATCCAAAACCCATCCGTCGACATTGTAATTCTTGAGATTTGATGTGAATTTGAATACAAATCTTCACTAGTCTTGCTGAAGCATATTACAGGGTGGTCATGGTAATGGACTGATACATATTATATATAAGAATATAATAATGAAAAATAAAGAAGGAAAATTAAATCTTTTATGGGGACCCTTTAATAAATGAAGTTGAAAGCTCAAACTTTATCAAAAAAAAAAAAAAAAAA